TTGGTATTGCAAGCTATTATCGTGCAATGAAACTGTTACCCGATTCTGGTTTAACAGGTGCTTCCATTGTGTCAGAAACTGTCGGACCTGCTGATGCTGGTTTACAATCAATCAATTTTCAATGTTGCCAAATGCAGTTAATAAAGATTATCGTAAACCAAACACACCAGTAATGAAAGTCGTCAATCTAGAACAGCGATATGGAAATTATGCAGTAAGATCAGCCGATGAACAAGGTGAGCACGGTATGTGGATAAGTTTTGATGACCCAGACTTCACTGTCGTTAAAACGAATTATGCTAAATACAAGGCTCTGGGAGGCATAGTGCTATTTGATGTGGACTAAAATGATTTTCGTGGATTGTGTACTGGATTCAAATTTACTTTTGTCCGCTCAATTAAAAATAGCATGTAGTTTCACTAAGAAAAATGTTATAAATTTGTATATATGTTAATTAATAAATTTAGACAAAAAATTTATGTTTAGCAATACATTCATAAGATCAACTCTTACCTAAAAATTAAGAAAATAAATTAAGTTATATATATGTATATATGTATATATATAGCCTTAACATATATCATAGCAAAAGCAATAGCTAAACATACTTACTTACCTAATGGAATACAAATATTTACAAATATTTATTTTTATTTTTTTAATTTATTCATTTGAAATTTTAATCCCTCTCCATATGGCTGATGACCCATTAAGTGCTTTTCAACACCCAAAGTGTAATTAAACTTATCAAAATGGAACTCCCAATGAAAATCAATTATTCATGATGGAAAAGTATAATTTAATAATTTGGTAAATTCGCTTATGAGTAATAAGTTAGAGAATATAAAATTAATAACTGCAATTAAAATCGAAAACGTGAATGATATTAATGAGTTTAATGAGTTTTATGCAACCATGCAATTTTTCATTGATGCATAAATATGTATATCCAAGCTAAATAAAATAGTAATTAAAATTTTATTATTCTAACAATTAACATATTTTTTAATTTTTTATGAATAATAAATATAATTTTAAAAGCAGTAATTTCTGGAAAAATTAATTGAAAATATGCATTTGGACCATCTTTTCACTTAATTCTTCTGATCTATACCTAATCAAAACAGCGGATTGGAACAATACATTAAGACCGAAAGGTTTTCGGATATTCTCATTTAAAATTCGCGCGCTGTATATTTTTCGATATTTTAAGTTTATGTAGTTTGGCAGCACTGTCCTTAATTACTATGCCAAAAATGAGCGCGATCTGTCAGACAGTTCGTTTACGGCAGCTGTTGAAACCAGTTCACCTCAGTAGTGCGTTGCGAAAAAAACAATGGAAAAAAATATTGAACAAAGAGTTTGCATCAAATTTTGTGTTTCGAACGAAATTTCGTGTGCAGAATCGTTGCGAATGCTACAAAAGGCTTATGGGTAATCAGTTTTATCGAAAACTCAAGTTTATGAGTGGTACAAAGCCTTTCAGGACGGTCGTACGACCGTCGAAGACATGCCGCGTTCTGGACGACCTTCGGCCTCTACCACCGACGAAAACATTGAAAAGGCAAAGGAAATCGTGTTCCAAAATCCTCATGTGAGTGTTAGAGAGATAGCACGAGAGCTAGGCATCGGTCGTGAGATGGCTCGTTTGATTTTGGTGGACAATTTGTGTATGCGACGTGTCAACGCCCGGCTTGTTCCGATTCACCTCAATTTGTTCAACATTATCAACGATTTTAAGGCCAAACATTCAATAAATACCATCGAACAGCCACCGTATTCACCTGATCTTGCACCGTGTGACTTTTTCCTGTTTCCCAACCTCAAATTACCACTCAGAGGAACGCGTTTTGAATCCATAGAAGACGTAAAACAGAATTCGCAGAGGGAACTCAAAGCCATACCGGAAAGCGCCTATAAAAAATGTTTTTGATGATTGGAAGAAACGTTGGCATTTGTGTATCGCTTCTAATGGAGCATATTTTGAAGGAGATAAAATAAATATTGATGAAGGTTAAGAATTTTGCGTTTTATTTAAAATTTCCCGAAAACTTTTCGGTCACAATGTATAAGTAAAATGAATGTCAAAGTTAAAGTTGTTTGGTCTGGTCAGAACTAAATGTTTTCGCAGAGTTTTCCCACTTAATTTTGTTTACCCAAGCTATATTTAAAGGGATCAAAAATAATAGCTATTTTAAGAATTTTCAAGAACAACACCTGAAACAAAAACTGTCTAAATTCTAACAGTAATTATTTATTGAAATCAAGTATTATTATACTAATATAATACTAATATATACAAGTAATCACAATAATTTATTTATACACAATGTACAATAGAATGTAACTAATTGAAAATAGATATATATCTGTTGACGAAATCATGAAATTAATTTAACATAAACAAAATACTGATATATTCAAATACAATATTTTTCTTCTTGTTTGGTTGATGAAATTCGACTTAGTGTCTAAAGCACTTTTACTCATTAGTGTATGTGACTATTGGGGTGATCCACTTTTCACTACAGTGAACAGTGAACTATTTACATTTGATTTAAAGAAGTGCAGATCCACAGAATCTAACAATTTCAGCACTTTGTCTTTAACATATTTTTGCACACTCTCAACCTTCAAGTCTTTGTATATATCTTCATTTCCGACATTCTATGGAGCCTTTAGCATACGTTTCAGTAAAATATTGTGATGAGTTTGAAAGTTTCTAATGGTGGATGTAGCATCATTGCCATAAGTAATGTAGCCGTAAATAGCATAGGTCTAATAAAGCTGAGTTTAATTTTTCAGACTCAACTTTCCTTGCATTAATGGTTTTAAGCCATTTATAATTATATGTTACTGCAAATGTGTACTAAGAATTATGATATGAATCTAAAGACATAAATTAATATAGATATAATATAAGCAAATAATTCGACAGTAACTTCTATATGGGTGTGTATCCTTCAATAAGGCCTAAAACACTACTATTCGACAGCTAGAAATTGCACAAAACCAGGCTCTGAGAAGACTTTTCACGGTGCCATGGTACATTAAGACGAATAACATCCTCAGGAATCTCAAAATTTATCCGATCAAAAAATACATAAAGGATAGCGATCTGAAACTATTTACGAAAACCGGCAGGCTTACCAACACCGCGTTATCGAATCTCAGAATGGTTACAGACTCCTCGGGGAGGTATGTAGATCTGAAGTCAGTTATTATTTAGTCAGATGAAGTGATAAACAATAATTCAGTCAAGGCGTAGAGAGATGTTATGAAGCAACTTTGCAGTTACTAGAGAGTAAAAGTGATCAAGTGTACTGACTCAACTAGCTTCAACATAATAATAATCATATTTTGTTTATTAAAAATATATTTATTACTTTAATTTACTTAAGATTCACCACTTTTGAATTAATACTAAAGAACAAGGTTCACTTGGCACAACCACATACAAGTCAAAATAAGTAGTTGCACAAAATCACTGCAATGAACAGGAAAAAGTCGCACGGATCCAGATCTGGCGAATATGGTGCCTGAGTAGTGCCATGTTTGGTCAAAAAATCGCGTACAACAAGAATTTTCCATAGTAAAAATCGCTAAATGCCCTTGAGGTAGTCTCACATTAACCGCTGCTGTAAACAAACTAATTGACAGATGGCGCTCAAATTTGTACCATATGTCAAGAAAGGGCGTACCACATAACAAAAAAAAAATATTTTAAAAAAGGTCTATTACTTAAGAAGTAGTTAACAAACAACAAAATCCGGATACTTTTTGAGGTATAGCCAGATAATTAGACCAGCACTACTTTATGAGTACGTGGCGTATGGCAAAACTGCCGACTCTACTATACAAAACCTACAAGTTGCTCAAAGTCAGGCTCTCCCAAGGCTCTTCAAAGTGCCATGGTACATTCGCACGAATGACATGCTAAGAGACCATAGAATAGATCCGGTCAAAATATACATAGGGACAGAGCTCTAAAGCTATATGCGAAAACCGACAGGTACCCTACTTAGCATTATTTAATCTTAGAGTAATCACTAACCGCACGGGGCGGTACGCAGATCTTAGATCAATCATTGAATAATCACGAAGATTATTAGAGGAATACTCAAATTAGTCAGTGAGATGGGTGGGACTCTGCAGAAACCCGCCGAACCATCATAGAGTAAAACTACCCAGATGCACTAACTCAGAAAAGACTCAACATATACATATATATTAAGAAATTCATCCGGGATATTTTACTGTACTTCATATTTCACCACTTCTGACGATATATCAAAGCAAAGTTTTTTGGTGAAACCTTTAAGGGATAAAGGTGTCTACAATCGTGCTTACAGCAACCCCTTCCATACAGTAATTACCTTGCAGTAATTACGACCTAGCAAGAATATCCCGTCTGTCTCCCTTTAATTATTTACAAATATGTTTTAGATTTATTTGTCTATATATATAAATACTAAACCTTCTGTGTTCTTATGTCTGTTCTTCCCTTGATAAGTGGAATAGGGTATTATACTGGACTCACACGAGTGTTTTGATTGTAATTTTAGCTACCATTTCAAATAATTTTTGATTTCGATATTAAAACAATTTCTAATCGATAATATTTATATAAGAATTTTGACAGCTGAAAATAGAACGTAATTTTTGCAAATTGAAATTGATTGAGCAGTACAAACTTGTGCTATTGTGAATAGTTTTAAGGAATTAATAAAATTTTTATACAAAACAGTTATTTATCATGGAATAGTAAATGAATGTAAATGTCGCAAAACCACTGTAAAAAAAAAAACTCAACCTGGACATAAATGAGTAACCGTTTCGGTGCGCAATTGGCTGCATTGCAATTGAGCATTGTGCATATAAGAAAACAGCTGATTTCATTGCTCAGAAAAGAAAATTCGTTTATTTTCTTTAAAAATATATAATTTGACACTTTAAATGCTGGTTTTTGTAATATATTAATCAAATGTCATTTTCGGTTTTGTTTCGGTATTTTAACTGAGCAATATATTTTTGTAGTGACAAATAAATAATTCATACTTGTACAAATTCCACAACAAATCTGTATCACAGGGCGTCCATATAATCACTTTTGCATGTTTCGCGATTTCCGCCTTTGGCTATTTCATCGCGTAACATAAATATAAGGATTATAAATTTAATCACATTTAAGGCAGAATTTTGGACATTCCGGTAAAACAATAGAAACCTCATTTTATTATTATTCTTAAAGAATACATAATTAGAATATTTTTATTATGTCTGAAGATACCAATTTTTTCCAGTCTGTATTTTCAACATACGCAAACATTTTCATCGCCGTATTTTATGTCCTTCTATTATATTATATAGCGCGGTAAGAAATCTGAAATTTTATTTTTTTTTTTGCATAAACTAAGATTGCTTTTCATTAAATGTCAACAAATTTTAAGTAGGTTTGCATTTTTATTAATTTTTTTTTAAAGAAATTGTGTACATTATATTTCCAACGAGATGTCCGACTCTTTTATATCTGATGTTGGAGAGTTTTTCAATTCTATGGAAGATATTAGCGGCAGGCAATACAATCATGCGCATGTTCCAATCGGAATTCAGTCCCCGATACCTGATCCTCAGGTTACTAAAAGGGAATCTGATCATGAAACAAAATATAGACACTTCACCGATGGCAATGTAAACAAAGCCCTCGCCGCTCATCATAAACGTCAACTCCGAAGGAAACGCCAGTATAAGAGTTTACAACAAGTGCAATCTAGAGTAACAATTGTCGCATCTGCATCTAACCTCAATTCTTTCGACGTGCAAGTGGACTACCCTGATCATACGTTTGTTGTAACAATGAGGCAGAGACAAGGGCATGGAGAACAAATTGCCAACGGAACTGATGAAATAAATGAAGTTTATAATTAATATATCTGGTATTGTAAGTAGCATATAGTTATAAATGCAACTAATATGAAGCGCCGCAACCATAAGAAACCATCAGAATATATTTAAATATCTTGAAAAAGCGTCAATTATCAGTAAGAAAATATTTGAACTAGTAGACTGAAGATTTACTTTTAACTCCCAATACGAATTTTTAACAATTGCTGAATTCAAAGAGAATGTGACTTGGCTATGTCTATTTACTAATATTAATTAATAATGAATTTTAATATAATATACAGAACTAAAATTGGTTATTATTATTATATATATATGAAAACTTGAACAGCAGTAAGTTAATTTAGTTATAATAGTTGTGTCAAACTAATTTACTTATTTACAGATTACAAGTGCAAGCTTGCCATAACAATGTAATTTTTAATCGGAATTAAATTTTTTTGAACTAGAATATGGAATTGTATATAATTCCATTTTTCCATTTAATTTTATAATTTTTTTAAATTTTGATGTTCATAGTCACACTATGGAATATTGTGAGCCTATAGAATGTTTATGTATTCGGGAAGAACCTTTTTTTAACATATCATCGCTGGTACTTTTTAATGGTGACGGTCAATAAATACCTTACGAAAGACATATGCTTTGCTGATGTTGAACTGTAAAATACTACAATCGGTTTTCAACTGGTGACAGTGAAGTTTACTGTACAGTGAAAAAAAACTTTGAAGCATTATCTCTCAATTAGTATTAGTGATAATAACTCAACATACATTTAAGGTACAGATATTTTTTTATAAATATTTGAATATTATGAATATATTATGAATACGTATCAATATTATTGCAACTTGAGTTGCATGTTTTTAAGAGTATTCTATTTATCACTCGAATATAAAATCTAAACTCAGTGTCACATGTGATAAGTTGTTAATATTAATTTTGCTTTTCTTCAATTTTTTTCCAGCGTATAAGACAATATTTGGAACTCAACACTTTCTACTAAAATGTTTATGTTGTACTTGACTTTGAAGACATGCCAGTGAAATTATTTAAATTTTTTATTTTGTATTACTTAAGAACTCATGAACCTTAAGTTATAGTATAATTAAAATAATTACTATATATAAAAATATATATATTAAATAAATTTTTAATAAACAAAACATATTATTGAATTAATCGGCTAAGAATAAAATTCCAACAGTTAATTTAAATTGAGCTAATTTAAAGACTAATTTTAAGACTTTAAAAATTAAAAAAACAACCTGCTAAAAATCTATAGAAATAGAATGAACTGCGAATTATGCAACCAATTTGTTAGTTATTTTCACAAAATGATGAACACTGTATAAAGAAATTTTAAATATACCAAACAGAATGAATAAGAATATCACAGCTAGTGCAACATTTATAAGCGATAATTTATAATTTACCCAACTAACTTTATCAAGAGACGAGATACTCTCCATGATTTCAATTTTAAGCTATACCAAACACCAGTTGTTGCAAATGTTGGTTGGTATACGTTACAAACTACAACATTGAAAACATTATTAGAAAAATATACTCGCCGTGTTAGATAAATCCACTTTTTATAGAATCTACCTACACTTAAGGCCTATAAATTGAAGCATAAGAATAGAAATGCAAGATCACTACATGTGGATTACAGTGAATGAAACTACGATTTACCTGGACGATATATTACAAATCCAGTCGTTGGTAAACTAAATGACAATTTGCTATCGAGTCCTCTTTTGATTATTTGGAAGCAATTCTTTATCGAATCGAATCTCTTTATAAACTAGTCGCGCATTAAACTTTGGCCGAATGGAAGTAAAGTAGAAAAAAGTAGTATTACTAATAAAAGGCCTAACGCGTTTTAAATAACAAAAACATCTTAAAATGACATGCTCAGCTTAAGGACTTCATAGAAATCCATAAAAAACTCCATAACCTTTTTCTTAAGTTAACAACTTTATTTCAGCAATCAAAAATGTCTTATTAAAATCATCATTCTTTTGATATAACAATTATGGATAATATTGCCATACCACTGTGTCCAATTTCAGTGAAGTGGGGAATTACTCAGATAATTATTCCAAAACAAAGGAGATAATTTATGTTTGAATGAAAAATAATGATATATCCCACTTTTAATGAGACTGGGTCTGTATTAAACTACATATATTAAAATGTTTAAATAAAATTTTATATATTGTATAGTAAAAATTAAATGCATTATTTTTTAGGCACTTGAGGCTTAAACTCCCGTTACGAAGTGCATTAGGGCTGCACAAAATCCGATAGAAGATAAAACTTTGCTGACATCTCATAACTTTGTTGACCTTAGCATAGCTAAATTAGAAAAATATGAAAACTGACACTGTAAGGCAATTGAGATTATTGGAGAATTAAAAAATCAAAAAACTTTATCAAAACGTCCTTGTTTATTTTGAACTGAAAAAAAACAGCCTAACTAATGGGAAGCAATCAACTCTTTTGATCAAAATATAATCTTTATAATATTATTGAAATATTATCTCATGGTGGAGCATATGGTACAAATTTGAGCGCCATCTTTCAATTAGTTTGTTTACAGCAGCTGTTAATGTGAAACTACCTCACATGCATTTAGCGATTTTTACAATGGAAAATTCTTGTTGACGCAATTTTTTGACCAAACACGGCACTACTGTCATCGCTCCTTTTTCCTGTTCCCGAAACTCAAATTGCCCCTTCGTGGTAAGCGTGTTGAGTCGATTAGATCGGTAAAAGAGAATTCACTGAAGGAACTAAAAGCCATACCTTCATGGTATGGAAGATTGGGTTAAGCGTTGACATATGTGTATCGCTTCAAAAGGAGCATATTTTAAAGGAGATCAAATAAATTTGGAATAAAATTTAAATTTGTGTATTTTATTCACAAAATCCGAATACTTTTTGAGCAGAAGTTATAATCCCTACTTATAATCCCAGTAATACCCCTATTTGTGTGTGAATTAAAAACTTAAATACATTTTTTATATAAACTAAGACGTTCAATTAATTTGTGTCAAATATAAAAATAAAAGTTATAAAAAAAATTATATTTAAATAAAATATTATAGACATTAAAAAAAGGACTTATATTTTATGTTATAAATATATTTTTTAAAACTTCCATAAATAAATTGGTGTTATATGCATATAAGTAATATTTATAGTTATATACAAAATGGCCGCTACAGAGGAACCACCCAAGACCATTACTATTGAGGTACCAAGTGAACCACCAGTCAATCCTACAGAGAAATTACTCAAATGGTATAGAAAAAAACTTGAAATATGTCCACGCGTGGACAATGATATTGAGACCTCACCCAGCTATACTGCTATTGTTGTTCAGGCATTACTAGATGAGACACCATCTGAAATGAAAGACAAGGCCAAACTTGAAGAGATTTTTCAGATGTTATTTGATACGGAATGTAAAGTCGAAGACGTAATCGTAGAAGAAGTGAAGGAAATCAAGAAAGAACCGGAACCACTATTAAAAATAGGCAATCTATCAAGTTATTTTCGAAAAATCAAGACTACAAATATTTTGGCTCGGAACCGTTTTTCTGTAAAATATGATCACCAAAAACGCACATCAATAGTCCAAAAAAAACCAGAAGAGGAATTAGAGTTGTGGGATTTAGAAGCGGACCCTATAATATGCGAACGTATATTTGATGATGACAGGGATGTAAGTCGGCAGCCAAGTTTCACTAAGTTTGTTTTGCCTTAGTAAGTATGCTAATAAATATCAAGTAAATAATTACAATACAAGTTTTCAAAACTATTTTTATGTCTAGTTCATTGATTTGCCAAATGCGTATTGCAAAAAAAAGACGTGAGTTTGAGAGACAATTTCAATACGAAATTAAACAACTTCTGAGATACAATCAAAGTGCTTTAGAAACTGCTATGTTTCACAGGTAAGTTCATGTTTCTATAATCTATAAACATGAATTCGTTTTGTCTGCAATTTTTATATGTATCATATTTTTATTTTAATTTTATTTAATTTAATTTATAGCGTACGATCGTATCAAATAAAATGCATTATTTGTCAGAACCCCAAATTTCACATATAATATATATAATATATGTATATATATGTGTATGATGCATCTAAAATATAAAATAACATTTATAATGTGAATGTTATATATATTATTAATTTAATTAATAGTTATAATATTGTTTTACAGTCACATGGCCTACACAACTATGTGGCCACCATTGCATAATCGAAGGGAAATTGAAAAAACTTCTCAGATGTTTGAACTCTCCAAAGCGGAGCAGAAACGCTTAAACTACTTGATGAACAATGAAATTACATAACTAATTCTGACTTCTGTCGAAAGTAATGAATATATTTAATTAATATAAACCATACATTAGTTAACCTATTCAGCATTTGAAAATAAATTTTTAAAAATCAAAATTTTTGTTTTATATTATTTATGTAAGCATAGCTTCATCATTTTCCTATATTGAAGAATAAAATCAAGTGTATTTTAACTGGGACAGTTCACCGTAGTACAGTAATATGCACTATAAGCTTGTACTATTGTGAATAGTTTTGAGGTATGAATGAGATGTTCATACAAAATGAAACAAAATAGTTATTTATCTTATGTATGTACACATAGCCAATAAAATCTACATACACCTTTCGAATTTTGATATGTGATAAAGAAATACAAATAAATATTTTAAATTAAAATTTTTACATATATTTATTCTGGAATATTATTAAATTAATTTTTAAAGCAAATAACAGAAACCAACACATGTAGCTACATATAAAATAATTGATTTCTATACAATCCTATTGGCCATCCGTAACTTACTTTGTTTACTAACAAATTTCTGTTTCGGAACGTCACATATCCATGCTCAGACAAGTGTGGCAAGCCATAAATTTAGAATAAGCGGAAGTCATGCATGTCACTTTGTGAAGGTTGCTTATTCAAAGTAGCAAAATTGGGATCCCAGTATTAGAATAGAATCAAGTCAGGTGACGGATAACAAAAACATTTATTTGATTTTAATTACATCAAAATTAGAAAATGCATAATAGTTTACTTACTGTATTTACCGTTGTATGATTTAAAAACATACATTACATAAATTTAATTTTCGATTACATTTGTAATTAAATGTTTTAATTTCTCATTACAAATACCCCGTAATTGAAATTGTAATGTAATTAAAATTGCAGAACCCTGTATATGAATATAACTTGTATATTGTATTTTCTTTTAATAAAAAGCTAAACACAACCGATTCGATTGATTCTTCGTTATTGAATGAATTATGATGAGAATAATAACTTATGTCTAAACCTTAAGATCTAAGCATCACTTCCAGCTTCGCTTCTTAACATTACCATAAAAGGCAATGTTTTACAAAACATACTTTACTGCTGGGCTTGCAATTTGCAGGCCTCATTTCCAGCCTTTGTTCTTCTTAGCTTATGTTTACAATAAAATAATATATTTACGTTAAATAAGAAATCTTGAAGTGTATTCACTACATTATATATTTAAGGTATATTAGTTAGGGGTAAGACTATGTCACTTACATATACATATGTATATGGCCACAAAATTTATTTTCACTGTATTTAAATCAACAGTTTAATGAAAAATTTATCAACCGAATCAAATTTTTACCCAAATTAAGCTAAGTATGCCAAAGTTTAACAACCTTATGTTCAGTTACTTGTTAAGATAGGGATTACGTTTTATTTAAATAAAGTTTTTCTTTTTACCAAATTCTTGCACTTACTCTCATGTCATCGTTGCCAATTTAAAATTACATAGTCACCATAAAAGATTTTTGACAAAAATCTTAAATATCTAGTTTTAAAAGTAAAATATCAACAAATGGATGTAAGGGCTTCGCAACAAATTTTTATATTTTCATGAATAGACATGAAACAACATGAATACGACCAACCAATTCGCCATCAATGACCTAAATTACTTTAAAAAACTTTCTGTTTATATTTGATTGAAAGCAAAAAGTCAAAAGTGTTCCTCAGTGTTATATTCTCTATTTCGTATGTTGTGTACTTTTAGATTGTTTATGTAATCATATGTATCTTATAGCACAAAGGAGTTTACTCTACTTAAAATTACTGCTTCCGTTACAGTTTTACGAAAACTGTTTAAAAAATTTTCACTGCAATTTTAAAACTTTTAGTTTTTTAGTAGCCGGGTACTCCTAAATATAAAAATAACTCTTAACATACATATATAAAATTCTTAACTTAAATTGAAAAAATCATACAGTAACAAACGAGAAAAAAATTCCAAAAAAATATATAAGGTTATAGTAGATTGCATTAAATTTCAATAATTTTTTAACATTACGTCTGCCCTTAGACAATAGTTTATTAGGAAATCAAATCTAATTTATTTAAAAAGTTAAATTAAATACCCAAGTAAGTTTACTCTACTTTACTTTTTGATTCTTAAGTCGAAAAAACCAGGGCTTCAAAACGAATTTTTTTCCGTTCCGGTTTTCGTTCCGATTCGTTCCAAAAGAAAAAATTATATCGGTTCAGTTCCCGATTTTGTTCCTGCAAAAATATCAGTTTTTTCGGTTTTCGGTTCGAAGCCCTGATCCTACTGGAATTTATTCCGTGCCGGTTTTCATTCAAAAGAAAAAATATATATCGGTTCGGTTTTGATTTCTCTTCATGCAAAAATATCGAATTTTTTCGATTTTCGCTTCGCTTCTGGTTCGAAGCCCTGAAAAAAACAGAAAAGATCATATGGTAAAAGAAAATAATAAACTAAATTTCATAAATAACTGACTAGCTAGCTTTATTGATACTAAATAAATAACTTATTTATAAACTACCTGACACTGATGGATATTAATGGAGACTCAAATATATTAAATCCAATTTAAATGAATTCATTTGATATAAATTATTCGCTATATTAACGCGATATTAACAAAAATAATGGAGAAAGGTGTTTCCATCATCAACTAAACTTAAGACATGTAGCTTTATCTGAACGATACTTTCAGTTCTAAAATCACTAATGTTAACAATTCCAACCTCAATGGTGACAAAACGGTACACATTTGGCCAAAAAAAAAAAATACTCTAGTATGCAAATAAAAAAAATAAAGAACATCGAAAAAGCTATTAAAAAGAATAGTTATTTCTTATCATATATTTTATCTCGCATAAAACCTTAATAAAAAAAATAAGAATATAATTTCTTCACTAATGCAGAGAAAAGAATCGCATTAAATTTATCGATTTTACAAAACTCCAGGTTGAAATTACGTTTCTGCTAGAATCTTAGCATTTTTTTTATAATGATTGTCTAAAAGAACATATTTTACATACACAAATATCTCAAAAAAAAGGATGTAATTTAAAAAATTATTTCCAAACATTCTCATTTGAAAATTTGAAATAGATTGCATATTTAAAACCAAAAACTTTAAATTTGACATTTGTCATGTATCCGCACATTCAGTAAATGATTTATTACGATTCAGCAAAATTAAATTTGCCATGTGAACACTCGGTTATACTATCTAATATCAAATTTAAGTACATTTGTCGAATTGTTAAAATTTACAAATTTGTTTTTTGAAATTTTGTGGACCAAATGAATTATGAGTCACAAATTGTTTAGCAGAAACCGCCAACTGCGTTCCATGATGAATAATGTCGGAACGGTTTTTGATTGACGTAATTGCGACAAATCCGCTAATTACAGTTGCAACCATATTTGAATAATTGTTAATAGGCAGACACGTACTCAAAAGTTTAGTTTTTAGAAAATTAGTATCATTATTATTTAAGTCTTGATTGTAATAAATTTAATGAATAATGAATTTAATGAATTTAGAATATGTAAGCATTTATGAAACCGTTAGTAGGACGTTAAGTTCTTCTTCTTTCTTAGCATATTAGTCCTAGGTGGTTCAGTACTTCCTCAACCAATTTTTGCCATCTCACACACATCATTAAATCCTTTTCAGCATTATCTAGCCATCTCTTTTCAAGGTCTGGCTCTTCTTCGGGATCCAATTAGGTTTCCTACAAATGCTTGTTACATTGAGTTCTCTAATTCGTGGTTGTAGCAAATACGATATGTGCTATAATTTAGACGTATTGTGCCCAAAATCTTTCTCAGTACTTTTCGTTCATGGGATAGTAGTTGGCATGTTTCGTTTGCTTAGAGTGTACATACTTCGCAGCACTACGTCTGGACTGGCCTAATTAGACATTTATACATACAGATTTTTATTGTCTTGATAATGTTAAGTTATTAATGGAAATAAGTGTCAGCACTTATTCTAATTTAACAGCTGAAACTTATAAAACTCGATTGATTTTTTATCTAAGTGTTCTTAAGAATACTCTGAGCTGATGTCGGCCATACAAAAAAAGCCAAGTAGGTGTTGCAGATCATAACCTAAATCAATCTACGATAAATATAACATGATTGGAAGAAATTCTTGTGTAATTATTTTGTGCTTAATGGGACCTACTCAAAATGCAACAAAACAAAAATATAATAAAAATATAACATACGTTTCATAACTTCACCATTATATTGAGATGCACGTATATGACAACCGTAATTTATTGAAAGTCTTATTGAAAGTTGAAAGTCTTATTGAAAGTTTTATAATTGCTGAACTAATATACTATATTAGCAAACTGTAACTATTTCATTTAATTTGAATTCAACAATTTATTTATATAAATATTTAATATATATTTATTTAGTTGACTTTATTATTTATCCTTTAGATAAATAAATGCAAATAAAGTGTATTACATATGTATAAAAAAAAAACTTTAATTAAATTAAAAATTTTCTATTCGAATATTTGTCTTTAATTTGCATATTAATTATATACTTTTTATTATTTCAAATAATTATTCTGTTAAATTATGTAATTGCACATTTTGTGGATAGTTTAAAATCCTTTAAAATCCTTCGACTTTTTTCACGTCAATGGTTTACGCTGTAATCCTTGATGGGGATGCGGTTATAAATTCGTGTGAACAGATTTATTGTGTTTTTAGCCTTTATTTTATAAATACTTACTTGAATAGATTGCAGTACCTCAGTTCAAATTCATATCACACCATCCAAGTTTGAGGCAATTATTTTGAATCAGCTAATCAACCGCGAATATGTTAAATAAAGCAAAGCACAATTTTTGCAATCTGTTTCACAAATAATTTAAAATCAAAACTAAAACCACCATAAGCCTAATTTGCAAGTCCAATTATTTGATCGATTTGTTTACTGCTGGTCTTTGATATGATTTTACATGAAATTACAAAAAAAAATTTTAATTTTTAATCTTCATTACGGGTAAATGCTAATTTTGAAAATTACAATATTTAAATCAATATATTTGTTAAACTAAAGTAAAATTAAAGTAAAA